TTTTTTGAGGTGATGTCTTGCTCTGTCAGCCAGGCTGGAGTACAGTGGCACCATCTCAGCTCACTGCAACCTCCACCTCCTGGGTTCAAGCGATTCTCTGGCTCAGCCTCCTCAGTAGCTGGGGTTACAGGTGCCCACCACAACACCCAGCTAATTTTTGTATTTTTAGTAGAGATGGGTTTCACCATGTTGGTCAGGCTGGTCTTGAACTCCTGACCTCAGGTGATCCACCCACCTCGGCCTCCCAGAGTGTTGGGATTACAGGCGTGAGCCACCGCACCCGGCCTTGGCCCTTCCTTCTAACCATGGAACCCTCAAGCTCCGGGGACGTCACTATGGGAGAGCTCCCCCAGGCCAGGACAGAAAGGGGACACAGAGGGCCCAACACTCCACTCCACACCTAATGCTGTGTCTAGGGCGGGTACAGTGGTTAGAACCGGGTTTGGGGTTGAGGCTCCATCCCGGCCACCTTTTTTGCTGGGGCACTTGGGGCAGGGTTCGTGACTCCCCTAGGTGTGAGTCTTTTCATTTTGTGAATGAGGCTCCCTGATCCTTCCTTTGGGGGCTCCGACGACCACAGGAAAAGACAAGGGGAGTAACCTGCGCTGCCCCCGGCTCAGCCACAGAATCTTTTGGAAACACTCTCCCTCCAGCACCCTCTGGCTGTCCCCTACATCCCCATCTGCAGAGCGGGTAAAGTGAGCCCACAGATAGGAAGGTAGAGGAGCAGTGTGGCTGGGGGCAGTGGGATGGGGTGTACTGTCCTGATGGTGGGCAGAGGTGTTACAGGCAGGCTTTACTTTTTGTTGTTGCTTTTGAGACAGAATCTTGCTCTGCCACCCAGGCTGGAGTGCAGTGGTGCGATCTGGGCTCGCTGCAGCCTTCACCTCCGAGGCTCAAGTGATCCTCCCACCTCAGCCTCCAAAGTAGCTGGGACTATAGGCATGGGCCACCATGCCTCCCTGATTTTTGTGTTAGTACACATAAAGTTACATTCTATCACCCAGGCTAGTCTCAAACTCTTGGACTCAAGCAAACCTCCTGCCTCAGCCTCCCAAATTGCTGGGATTACAGGCATGAGCCACCATGCCCGGCCAAGGCAGGGGTCCTTACAGTTACCCCAGTCTGCAGTGAAGAGAGGGAAACTGAGGCAGGGACCTAGAAGTTGTGTGCACCGGGGGCTGATATCTGGGGTCACATCATGTTCCCACCTGTGGCCTGTGTGTGTGTGAGGGCCCCGCCTTCCCACACCCATCCACCTGCATTCCCTGCCACCCCCACAGCCCCCAGGAGCCGGGCTCACCCTTCAGCTTCTCCCCAAACATGGTCAGGAACACCGTGAAGTTGATGGGCCCGGGGGCCTCCTTCACCATGGCCTCCAGTTCCTCATTCTTGACGTTGATGCGGCCTGGAGGAGACGAGACGAGGGCGCCCGGGAGGATATGGGAGAACAGAGCTTGGACCTCGGAGGGTTCCGCAGAGCCTCCCTACTCAGCTGCCCCACCTGCCCACCACTCAGCCCTCAGGCCCTGCTGCCTTGCTGGGGGGCTCTTTGGGGGGCATTCGGGCCACAGTCAGCTCCGGCTACCCCCAGCTTCATGGGAAGGGGAGCAAGTCATTCTCATCCCCATTTTACAAGTGAGAAAACTGAGGCCCAAGAAGGTGCAGCTGAGGTGCACAGGGTGCCCCAGGAGGGGGTCAGTGGATGCCTGGATGTTGGGATTCCCCGTGGTTCCAGGGGACACTCAGATTTCCAGGGGACACTCAGATTTCCAGGGGCTCGGGGCTTGGTTACATCCATTCCGCCATCTACATGCCCCATGGGGAAGAGCCTGAAGTCCTTAGGGGGGCAGAAACCTCTCTGAGTCTTTCCCCCTGACTCAGCTTCTCCCCTGCTCTCCTGGCCCCTCCCTACACCCAGAGCCCCCTACACCAGGCCCAGTCCCAGGCTGCTACTCCTGTCCCTGGAGCGTCCTCCCCTTCCCTGGAGTCTTTCTCCAACCCCCAGGAAGAACCCCTGGCTTTCCGAGCAGTGGCCTCCTTGCCTCTGCGCTCCCCGGCACAGGAGCCCCTCACCCTCACTGAGGGCACTGCCCCGATGGCCCCTGCCACCCACTCTCTCCAGATGGTATGGCCTCAAGCTCCCCTGGCTGCTGGCTCACCCACCCAGTGCGGCAAAGGTGTCCCTCAAGTCCTCTTTGTCAATGAAGCCATCGCGGTTCTGGTCCATGATGGTGAAAGCCTGGCAGAGACACGGGCGGTGAGTGGCAACCCACCCTTCCAAGCCTGGCCACCTCCCTCAAAGGCTGTCCTCCTGCCGACTGCTGCCCAAGAGCTTAGGCCAGGACCCTCTGGCAGCCCAGGTGGGATGGGATCCCCAACCCTCATTTCAGGCTCACAGCAATCCCAGTTTACAGAAAGGGAAACTGAGGCTCAGAGAGAGAAAAGCCTTGCCCAAGGTCACAAAGCAAGCACAGGCTCAGGTATACAGAGAGGAAAAGGCTGCCCGAGGGCAACAGGTCACACACCTAGGCTCTGGGCCGTGGCCGTGGTGGCCTCAAAAAATGGTGGCATTGGCTAGGCATGGTGGCTCATGCTGGCAATCCCAGCACTTTAGGAGGCTGAGGCAGGAGGATTGCTTGAGGCCAGGAGTTTAAGACCAGCCTAGGCAGCATAGTGAGACCCCATCTCTACAAAACATTAAAAAATTAGCCAGGCATGGTGATGTACGCCTGTAGTTCCAGCTACTCGGGAGGCTGAGGTGGGAGGATCGCTTGAGCCCAGGAACTGGAGGCTGCAGTGAGCTATGGCTGCAATACTTCACTCCAGCCTGGGTGACAGAACCAGACCCTGTCTCTTAA